ACCTACTAGCGATGGCCTCCAACCGAATAGCGATGGCCTCCAACCTAATAGCCATGGCCTCCAACCAACTACTAGTGATGGCCTGCAACCTAATAGCGATGGTCTAAAACCTACTAGCGATGGCCTCCACCTCAATAGCGATGGCCGCCAACCTAATTAACAGTGATGGCCTTCAGCCTAATAGCAATCCAAATATCACATCCTGATCCAGAGGGCCAGGCTCAAGGTTCTACCTGGGCCACCGACCTTCCCAGTGCCATTCGCTACGTAATTGTTGTTGATCAGCCGCAAGCCGTACATGTCGATGCAAATGACTAAATCCCCACAAGCCCGACACCCACCTCGAACCAAAAGCAACAAACATGGTCGCACCAGGTTACTGAGGTCGCTGGCATTTTGCGCTATGGGGCATCGCTACTAACAAGAAGCTACTAGTAGCTCCTGGCATCGCTACTACGCAGTCACAAAGGGCATCGCTACTAGGAGCAAGGACGCTACTAGGGGCTCCTGTCCTTACTACTGGGAGCAAAGGGCACCGCTACTAGGAGCAAGGACGCATCTTTTTGGCTCCGGCTTATGGAAAAGGGTCTTTTGAAGTGGCGTAATCTTCACGCAACTTCCGGAGCCATTCAGGTTGCGTTTGGCCCATCGGTCCAGTCTTCTTGTAAAGGAGCTCAAAGCAGTGTTGCAAACGTTGGAAAGCGGCAACACTGGCCTCATCACCAACATCAGGATGCATTTGCTTTGCCAGTTCCAAGTATTTGCATTTCAATTCATCCTTGGTCATGCTCCTTCCTGTAGCTCCGCACTGGAAAAGTTCCAGACAGCACCTTTCCTCACTTTCTTCCGGATCCATCAAGGAGGAAAATGGGCGATCACCCTTCGAGAAGCCAACATAGAATTGGGATGTCAGTCGTAGCCTCGAGCGCAAGATGCCATGGCCACGGCTCAAAATACCCTGCATCTGTCTAGACATGGACGACCCAATAAATACACTGCACATTGGACCAAAAAGAAGCATGCGCTACTAGGAGCAAGGACGCTACTAGGGGCTCCTGGCCTTACTAGGAACAAGAAGCTACTAGGAACAAAGGGCATTTCTACGAACGGAGCAGGGCATCGCTACTCGGTTGGAGGCCATCGCTACTCGGTGGGAAGTCGGTCCAGGCACGCTAAAGTCAAACCTGTGAGACCGTACAGGAGCGCCCTGAACGCAGCGTCCGATCGCTCCGTTCGTAGCGATGCCGGTTGCTCCTAGTAGCGTCCTTGCTCCTAGTAGCGATGCCCTTTGTTACTAATAGCATCCTTGTTGTTTGCGAAGGCATGACACAGTTTCATGTATTCAACTAGTGCTGGTGTTCATTCGCCAAGGCTCTTCAAGTCCAGTCCTGATCATGGAAATAGCATGAAATAGATTTATGCCCATGATGCGTCTTCATCATTAAATGATTCCAGGCTGCGGGATCGCACACAAGTCCACCACTAACTAATTGCCATCAAAGTGACGCAAAGCATTGCGGTATCAGTGCCAAGCAGGTCGTCATAACTCACAGTTCTTGGGGCACAGCCAAACACATAATAGACTGTAGATAAAATATGATAAAATCAAGATGCTGGTGGAGCGGTTTTTCAGTAGTCTGATGGTTCACCAGTGCGTCGATCAGCACCCGGCGCGACATTCAATTAAGGCCCTTCTAGCACACTCATCCGTGTCATAAAACCGAGACTCACAATGGGCCTTCGATTTCTTCCAGTCCTGATGGGGACATTTGGTCGCTATTTGCGCTACTGTTGGGTCAGGGAAGAATGTCCACAGCTATCAGGTGTCATTCGAGCTCAGGCCTCAGGTCGACCTCAAGAAAAGCTCTGGCCGAGCAGCTCGGATCTGTGCCTTTCCACATTGGGGCTGCATGGCGTGCCTATGTGCGCGGAGGCCATCGCGGTTCACATGGTTGGAGGCCGAGATCGTGGTTCACCTGTTTGCAGGTCATCGCAGCCTCCAATCAAGCAAGACAAGCAAGCAAGTAAGCAGTGGAAGGGCCTTGCTAAAGGCCGCAATCAACCTTTTGCGAACTTAGGAGAATGGGGATGGATAACACAGTCCCAAGGGGGAAGAAACCCATCCCAGCCAAAGGGATGCTAGATGTTGTCCATCTGCTAGGTGCCTTTCAACCAGCCAGAGAGAGAGAGAGAGTGCGTGTCTGCGCTACGCCAGGAAACAAAGCCCACAACTCTTGTGCTTGTCATATCATGCAGCTTGGGACCAGTGCTCACACCGGGTCGAGAAGTAAGGAAAGCAGCGCAAGCAAATGTCAATCTTCAAGGAGCATGAATAGACTTTTAGTCGATGCTATTATTGCTGATTCTGCCAGGGTAGATAACTTGTTCACTGGAGGTTGTAGAAGCATTTTGCCAGAGTGTGCAGGGAATCCTTGAGGTGCACTCATCCTTGAATGACGAAGTCATGAAGTCACTCTCTCCTTGCATGCCCCATCTAACCAAGAGCTGAAGGCCCAGGAAATGCGCAAGGAAAAAAAGGACTTGTCCGAATATTGCTCCCCCAACCAAATAACGAATCAAACACACTGGCACAAAGAAATTGCAGACTTTGCGAAGTCATAGTGCAGATCTCTAGTCGAAACTCTTCGAATTAATTGGCGCCCTTGCTGTGTCCAAAGCCAAAGCAGTTCACCTGCGTCTATACCGCTTAGTCATTGACAGGCTCAATTTGCAGAACCCGTTATCTGACAACCTGGCAACAAGTAACCTGCCAACATCCTCGCCGGTCACTACATGGTCCCTGGACACAGAGAACACCTGCAAAGTTTGCAAGCATTGACGCAAATTGGCTATCTAGTCTAATTAAGGCTCTGATCGCGCTCTCGGCTGGCCGCTCACGACGCGACGTGGGAAACGAGTGGGACAAGGAGTTTTCCCTTCTTCCGGCACTAGCGCAGCTGGTCTGAATCTTTAAAAACATGAATCCCACTTTTTGTAGGGAAAGTTTTTTGTTGTACATTATACGGTACTTATACAGTACTTCTACGCTCTCTGATCCATCTGATCCTTCCATGAAACACGAATGATCCGTTGTTTTTTTGGGGGGAGGGCTTCGGGGCCTGGTCGCACTTGGTGGGATCGGCCGATCATGGTGCCACAAAAGGTTGAATCTCTTCTTACCCACCATAACGTGCAAGGGAAAGTGGCACCCGAAAGGTTTGACACAGCATATGTTCTATGGGTTGCATAATGTTGCATCTGGTGTTAGCGACGTTCCGGGCATTGGGTTATGTAACCAGCGGAAGTCCTGGAAATGCTTGTAGCAGTTTATGCAAATGATTCAAAAAATAAGGAGGGCCTATAGTCACACATTGGCCAAGTGGGACCCAAGCACTAAAGCAGCCCCCCTAGTTGCTGGGAGACAACAAGCCATAGCCATCGAATGCCGGATTACTGGACCCTCCTGTCACACGCAGGCCCAAACCCTCTGGAAACCCCGCAACCAGTGTGGAAGGGAGTGGTTTTCGGGCCCACATATATCCCAAATTCATGTGGGCAACACATGTTTGTTGACCCTTTCGAAATGGAAGCTGTTCTTAGACCTGGGAGGCTGAAACCCACGAAACGCGTCTCAGATCACCGTGCCCACGCAAGATCGCCCTGCCCCCCGTGGACCTCAGCGGAGATCTTCACTGGTGTCTTGTCGATAGAGCCAGCACGGTTAACAAGAAGCACAACTAAAAGCGCTGGCCTCCAACCTACTAGCCATGGCCTCAAACCTAAAAGCGATTCAGCC